ATCCAGCGGAAAGTCTACGTTCCCTGAATCGGGCAAACATAAAAAGCCCTCTACATGCCTTCTATTCAACTGTTCAGCTGAACTGAAGATGTATACCGGGCCTAATTTACAGGGTGTCTAATTTTACAATTTATTACTATGCTGCATCTGTCTCTATGTTAAGCATATTCTATTGATTTAAAGTTCTATCAGCTATTTCTATATCGTTAAAGAGTGTTCTAGATCATAGGTCAATGACCTTTTATTGTAAGGATGCCAAATTACACAAGGTACAATGTGGAGCGGATTTCGAGTAAACTGTTATATTATGATTTTTTGTTAACATATAACAGTGGTTTAAGAAATTATTGTATTATAATTGAGACGTTTTAAAGTATGTTTATATAGATGTACTTATATGGTATCTCGATAAAGCAATCTTCTTTTTATTTCCAGGTGATTCGAGGAGGGGCATACGACCGCGGCGGAAATATAGACTGACGATATGGTGAGTAGTTAAAAAATGTATTTCATACAAGAAAATTATTCAATTGTTGTTAAAGATCCGGTGTATTTAAATCTTATTTAGTGATACAATTCTATCTTATTATAATTAACAGTTTCATAATTTAAGCCGAAACTCAATTTTTTCTTCAATCTTAAAAGTGTCTCAACTTTTTTACTACAGCGCCATCTAGTATTTGAACGACGAAACCCAATGAATTACCTCATGTACTCACAGTTCGTGCGCCACCCGTTAGATGGCGCTTACATACAATAAATTAGAGATCCATTCCTGGATCCCAGCGTATACAAAGACTATAGCAATGTTGTTTGGCAACAGGATGCAGTATGGCCGCGGCACATTGGCTCAACTCGCTAGGATGCCTATCGCTGTCGCTATTATGCCTTTTCGCTACTACTCTTCAAGTTACAAGCGGTAAGTTTACTTTTTTACTTGTATTTTTAAAATAATATTTATATTGAAGAAGAAAAGTTCAGGTATTGTGATTTTTTCTTTTTATTGTAAAATTAAATTTAACATGTACTGTATGTAACGATTACAGAATTTGCTCTTTCTTAATAAACTGCAATTAATTAAAGAGCGGAAAATATTATCGAAAATAACTGGATACTCAAAACTTTAAACGTCTACAAGTCACTTATCTCAGTTCCAGTATAAAACAGTTCTATTGTGAATATCTGATTTCAACATACATTTACGTATATCGTGTTAAAAGTGTCAATGTTACGCTAAGATCGCGCGCGGTTGCACGTGACCGTGAACACAGTTTCGTATTACAAGGGGGACCGGCTAAATGGCTCAGGGGGTCATCAGGATCATATGATTGGAAAGCGGTCTAATTTAAGAGAATATTCCTTCAATTTAAGTAACTCTGCGACAAATAAGCTCAGTTTCAACCGGTTGAAAGTAATTTTAACACTTTCAACATGAAACCTCCCTCTCCCTTCGCTAAAAGCGGCTATTAAGATCTCGCCGTGCCTTAAGTGGCCTAACAAGTTCTAGATGCTTGAGAATGGAATATTAAATGATGTTCGTATTTATCACGACTTGTAAGATCGTCGTTTCTAAGGTTAGAACGGTAATTTGCCCTTCAAACGTAACAGACGTCGAGAGTTACTTATATTATGCACTCAAGATGAGAAACTACTGAATTAAATAAATCAACTGCTTATTCAAATTATTTTATACTAGCTTTCACCTGCGACTCCGTCAGCGTTGAACAAAATAAAAAAAAAACAAAAGTAAGTAGCATATGCGTCCTTCCAGACCATTTGTACCAAATGTCATTGAAATCCGTTCAGCCGTTTGGCTAAAAACTCTAACAAACATCCATCATGAGATTTAGTAGAAGATAATCTGGAGGAACATATAGGTTACTCACTTTTGTTTTTTTTTTAATTCCACGGGCGAAGTTATGAGCGAAAGGTAATAAGTAGACGACAATAAAATTTAATGTTTTCATATTTCTTGTCATCTATCAACACTTTTGTTAAGAAAAGCAAAGATATAAGTAACCTAAGTTAGGCTGTAGAAAAAGACCAAAAGGAAAAAGGAACTAACGACCCACTGTAGGATTTACTGATGTTTTGGGACGAACAGTAAAATTTTACGTCAGCCGGTAATTGTACATTTACGGAGGAAAGTTTTGTACAGAGTAATGTTTCTGTTACTTGATGTCACTTTAGCCTTCACATCCGAAACTAAAAGAACATATTTCTCTTATTCCAATTTAAAAATTAAGAGAAAAAATCTTTTAAATTTGTTCTATGGTGATTTTTATTATTATTTCAACGCTCAATAAGTAACTATTTTGTCGAACGATTTAAGAGAAATTTGATGTTTTTAAACAAGCGAAAACACAAATATTTTAAGTCCGATGCCTAAAAATTAAATTATATTTATTCTTTATCGTTTAAAACTGTAAAGACCGTGTTCATATAAAAAGTTAGTGCTTAGTTATTTGTAATATCAAACCGTTTTCCTGAGAGATTCTCTTGAGTCCTCGAGAGCTTCGCTGTCGTACAGCTCGCTATAGCCTTCGGGAATAAGATCCTTCGGGATCATCCGTCCCTTTCTACTACGAGCAGGAGACAGGCTATCTCTTTCTATCGTAATGGCGAAGCGATCAATAGGAGCTCCGATTCTAAATTCGTGGAAAGAGCTATTTTACGAAGAGATTGTGTTCACATATCTACTCTCTAGTATTTTATTCTGCAATCTTTTAAGGATTACATTTTGATTTATAACGTATGATGTTTCAAGAATCTTTTTTCGTTGGAATGTTTTTAACATTGTGAGATTTGTTGAAGGAGGGTGTCAATTGTGGAAATCCACGCCAACATATATCAAAAAATTCGGCAAATAATCACTTGAGTAAACTTTCATTATATAAATTATGTGACATTTTATTGCGAAACTTCACGAGATGCTTTTGTCATTTCACGATAGAGCCGTAAAAGAATAATCAATGGTACTTAAATACGCCGCCAGATGGCAGTTTTAGCTATTTGAGAATACTTTTAGATGGCAATTATGTTCACACTGGTCAAGCAATAAGTAAAAAATATCATACTGGCCGCCAAGAAAGCCATAGAAAATGTTTTTGTAATTAAGGAACGTAATTCAAAAGTAGTAAAAAAATGTGACGTGAGCGATGTAACAACATTTTATTTGTATTAAATGCTTTTTATCAATTTATGTGAATAGTTTGTGTATTTTATCATTAAATAAAGAAGAATTTATCAATGGTACTAGTTTACATTTATTCACACACTAGCACTTTTGAAATGATTTTTCATCACAAGCATATTTTAATGTGTGGGCGTTGACCCTGAATTATACTGTTTTTATCATAACTAGTTCAATAGTACCTCTACGGCGTAGCAAGTGAAAAATAAAGTCGTAGGAACTAAATAATATATTCTAATATCGTTTGGAGCACTTGTCGCTACGTAACTCCGTAGATACGTAGATATGTAAATCAGAGT